TTTTATGTATTTAGTACAGGGTCTACAGCGTCTCACTACCATAGATCAGACTCCTGTTTTCAGCCTCCCAAGTGCTGGGATTACAGGTTCACGCCACCACGCCCAGTCTCAATCACTTTCCCCTGGGGGCGGAGCTGGCAGGGATTGAAACCCGGCCACTGCACTCTGCCTAAACCAGTGCTTTAGTCCCCTGAGCTATCTGGCTGGCCCAAGCCTGTAGCTATTTCACTAACATTTGGTTTATGAAAGGGAGACCAATATGAAGTAAACATGGCAAAAAAAAAATTAAAATCTAAATGTGATTAGTGGACAAATTATCTCTTTAAAGCATACTATATTTTTAGTTTTAAATTTTTTCAATTAAATTTAAAAATTAAGTTTTCCTGTAAAAAATAGCCTGCTGGAAATGCCTAACCAGAGGGTGTGCATGGAGAATAAAGACAAGACAGATAATTTTGAGAGAAGGTGACGGGGGCTTTTGCATGTAGTGAACAAAGACCCCTGAGCTTTGGCCCACCTTACTTCTATTTACTTAGACACAGGGGCCAACAGGGTATAAGAAGATCCATCTGCCTCCTATTATGTATAGTATATGCACAGGTAAACAGCTCGATCAGCTGGGTTCAGTCCTCCGTGGAACTTGCCGAGTGCCACTGTGCCTGCCTGCTGCTGAAGGAGCACAGCTTGCTATTTTTCTCCTTTGTTCTCACGGAGAAGGTCAGTTAGGCCTCTGTCATTACCTGGTTCCTATGTTTTCACATAGTTCATACTAGTCAGAATTATTATTCTTTATCTTGTGATGTTCCTTAAAGAAAGACATTTCTTTTACAAGTAAAACTGATTTTTTCCCCCTCAATGCTTATGATTATAGATGCCAGCCTGTTACTGTGCTCCAGGCCACTATCACTCCAGTCAGCCTCAGTACCGCCCTATCCCTTCTGTCCATTATAGTTCACATCTAAACCAACCACTGCCACAGCCTGCACAGCAAACAGGTGAGTCATATTTCTGATGTCCTGAGTTCTTAGCTCTGGTTACTGCTTGTCTTTTATTTCATTATTAACATTGAGAAAACTACCATACCCAAGAATGTATGGTATGTATGTAATATACGAGTATGTAAACTAGTGATACTGAAAGAGTGGACAAATCTCAGAGTTCTCCAGAATCCACCACCCTGCCGGGTCTGTATGCTGACGGGGTGGAAACTGCAATGAGCAGATTCTGCCAGGCCAGGAGGGTGGTGGGCAACTGCACAGTCCTCACTACCCCTGTAGTGAAAGTCCTGCTTGCAGCCTGATCGTAATCCATGCGTGGTAATAGCAGAGAGAGATAAGGTAAAGATTCAGCATTCTTCTCCTTTTGGCTCTTTGAAATTTTCTTCAAACATTGAGTGAAAACAAATGATCTTTGTGTTAAAGACGGTTACTAATTTTAGTGATCTCATTTCTCTGCGCTTTCCATCTTCATGTGTACTTGTAGCCCAGTTGTTTAGTAAGGTCTTCATCCAGGCTTTCACAACTGTATGGTTGAAGAAAAATTTACTGTTGGTTGCTTTAGTACATTTTTAGCTGCTTGTCACTTTTAGAGACCCTTATACTGTGTGGGTATGATCCCTGGCCACATCTTTATCCCTACCTCCACCAAGGCAACTTGCTGCTTTTGATAATAGGCATAAGGTTACCTCCACTTCAGATAACCTCTGCATTTACCCATCTGATGAGAGGTGCCCTGCTTCTCTATGCTGGTGGGAGGTGGTGGACTGTCCCTCAGTCATTGTGTTTATCAGCTGTCTTTACCAGATAAGAGTCATAAACCTGTAGGGAAACTTCATTTCTTAATCTGTTGCTCCTGGTAGTTGTCTTGTGCTTAGTATACCAGTTCTCCCTTTTGTGTGTTATGAACCCTGTATTATATGTTTGATAAATGTTCACCCTAGGGATATTGAGTACAAACAGAGGCCATTGTAACCAAGTTAGAATTTATCTTTAATCTCAGTGTGACTCTTTTGAGGTTTATGCGAATGAAGTTTAATAAATGCAGCCCATGCCAAATAATACACTGTATGTTCTGATTTTAAAAGACTTAAGAAGTGGTTTGGTTTGGTTTGGTTCGGTTTGGTTTGGTTTGGTGTTTTTGAGACAGGGTCTCAAAATGTAGTTCTGGCTAGTCTTGAACGTTCTTTGGTCAAAGCTGGCATGTAATTCATAGGAGGATACATTGTTTTTCCTGCCTTAGTCTCCTGAATGCGTTGATTACAGGCCTGAGCCACCTTACCCGGCTAAAAGTTGTTCTTTTATGCATGGGAACTTCGGTTGTGACATCCCTCATTAGCTTTGTATATATTTGTTTTACTCTAACAAATAATTTTCTGAGTTTTCCTGGGCTGTAAATACTGATTTTTCATATTTAGTGTGTCTGATTATTTTCTTTCAAATTTTTAATATAGGTTATACTTGATACCATACATGATCATTAATTAAAAAAAATTATCTTTGTACCACTCATTTAGCACTGTAGTCCGCTGAGCTATCTCGCCAGCCCCTTGAACTCTTTCTTTTTGTAAATTATAATCTAAAGGTTTTTTATAGTTAGCTAATGTTTTTTTTTTTATATATCAAAGCTACAAAGTATCCATTCTTGTTTGTGTCCTCAAAGAAACAAAATGCTCAGAAAAATAAGACAGATTTCTCTAATTCCAAAAGGGGTAACAGATTTACATGAATTTTTGTCCCAGTAATTTACTTTTTTTAATATGTAAGCATAATACCTTGTGTTTCCTTTTTATATTTTTTTCTCTTATATTGCTCTATATCCTACAAACTTTATTTTGCAGAACCGGGAATTGAACTCAGGCCCTTGCACTTGCCAGGGAAGCGCTTATTCCACTGAGTCATCTCCCTGGCCCCTTATCCTACAAGCTTTTATCTAATTAAAAATGAGAAGTCAATAAATGCCATCACTAAGGGGGGGGGGATGAGAAGTCAGTTACATCCCTTACATTTTATTTTATTTTATTTATTTATTTTTTCTGGAACCGGGGATTGAACTCAGGCCCTTGCACTTGCCAGGGAAGCACTTATTCCACTGAGCCATCTCCCCGGCCCCTCCCTTACTTTTTTTTTTTTTTTTTGCCAAATAATACTTGTGTAGCCTACAAAGAATTAAGAAGCATTTTCTTTTTAATTACCTAAAAGAGTGAAGCTTATTACTTAACCAAATAACAAAAACATTGGCAGATTTGGAACAAATTTTTTTTTGCAGTGGCACAAATATTTTTTTCCTCCAATCAGATTTTATTGGTACATTCCAGATATATATACATAATGATCACATTCATAATTTGTACCCGTACATGAAATAACTTTTTTTCCCTTTCCCCTCCCTTCAACCCCTCCTCCCCTCTGCATTTACAAAAGCTTTTTTTCCATGTTATCCTTTTCTCATTTTTTTTTTTTTTACTTTTCCCTTCTTTGCCCCTCTAGCTGCCTTTGTTCCTCTCCCATTTGAACATTTTGTTCCTATTTCACAATACCTATTGTACATTCACAAATAGCATATAAATGTTAATATACAAATTAAACAATCAGCTATTCTTAGACCAGGAGGGTGTGGGCAATAGGAAGTGATCAAGATTTTTGTTATTTGCCTTATTATCATTATTTTATCTTATTTTAGTCTTTTATTTATATATTTTGTACAGGGTCTCACTACACGTCTTGGACTCATAATGATACTCCTGTCTCAGCTTCCCCAGCACTGAGATTATAGGCATGCGCCACATGGCACACAGTAACGGGTATCAAACCCAAGTCCTTGCACTTACCTGCAGATACTTAGAGTGCCGAGCTATCTCCCCAGCCCAGTTTTGGATTTTGAGGATAGGAAAATGGTTGGAAACATTTCTCCAGGATAGAATGCTTTGGTCTTATGTTGTGTGTGTGTCAGTAGACCAAAGTTTTTATTAGTCTCCTGGACAATAGACCTCTTATTTGTTATGAAACTGAAGTACATAGTATTAATATTATTACGGAGAAATGAATGTGTACTACTCTTGTTTCATAACTTTTTTTTCCGGTATTGGGGATTGAACCCAGGACCTCATGCTTGCCAGGCAGGTGCTTATGCTGCTGAGCCATCTCCCCAGCCCCTACTCTGTTTTATAAATGCAAAACTACTAACCATAGTCATTTAAAATAAAATTGAGTCAACCCCTCGTGACAGAAGCAAGAGAAGTTCTGAATACATAAACACTTCTTAGACAGTGCATCGTATGATGTGAAAGAACAGCGAAGTATGATTCCAACTCCTGATGTTGCTTAGGGAGTTTGTTGTTTTGGTTTGGTTTTTGCTTTTTAGCTAGTATTAGTCATATCACTTAAGGCCTCTTGATTTCAGTTTACTCACTTTCCAAGCAAAAGAGGTTTACTGTATTGTCCGTGATACCTCTGTGTACTCTAAAATTCCTTGAGTCTGTGTCTCCTGTAAATCATTCTTGTTTTAGAAAGGTGAAGACTGAGAATTGTTTTATCATAGCTTAGCAAGTTAGTCAGTGGCTGGAGTCATGTGAGCAACTATTTAAAATGATCTTTTGCCTGCCAACTGCAATAATACAAATTTATTATCTTTATCATAAAATATACAGTTTGAGTACTGTGAAGAATACTACATACAAAGAGTTTTGTATACTATAAAAAAGCTTTTCCTGTAGGTAGTAATCACAGCAAAAATTTCAGGTTTATAAATCCCTGATACTTTTATAGGTAGCTGTTTTGATTCTGTGACTCTTGCAAAGTTTGCAGCTTTATGTTTAGTATTTTGCAATAATTGGCCATGTTCCTGAGCTGTTGGATTCGGGGCCGTAGCACTGTCTGAGAGGTTTACATTTCTCACAGTGAACCGGTCTCTTTTTCAGCTGCTTCCTGGCTTCTTTTTACTCAGGTTTCCACCGATTTTTTTGCTTTTTATTTTAATTTTTTTAATGTTGTATTAAAGTACTAACATTTGATTATATTATTCAGTAATTGTATTTGCCTTTAATCATGCATCCTACTCAGAAATAAAGATTTGGATTTAAATGACAATCTTGGCTTAATATAATTTGCTTTGTATAGAAATGCATGAAGGGAATTGCTCAAATTTCTTCTAAAGCAGATTTGGATGGCAGATTCTGTTTTGTTTGGAAATTATCTAAAATTTTTAGTGTTTCAAGCATGCCAAACTTATTAGCAGAGGTCATTTATATCTCATTGTTGCTGCACAACCTTTTAAGGACTTTATTATTCATTAAAGCATGCCATCAGAAGGACCTAAAACAACTAAATGCATTTGATACTGCTTAAGCTTCTACCATGGGTTTTATTCGATTTTTTTCCCAGACACTGTTCATATTGTATGTCTGTGAAAAACAAAATAATTCTTTGAAACTGTAGGTAGCTTTAGCTCTGTAATCATTTGAAAAATTGATAGAATATCAGTCATTTATGTCTTCAGTCCCAGCCTTTCAAGTGATTCAGAACCACGTGATTCCAAGTTGATTAACATTTATTACCAACAGAGTGTTAACAGTATACTGATGAATAATACCATAGAAAGAACAGTTTAGGGTGGTCTCTAAAATAAGCAGAACACTGGCAACATTGCAAGGCACAAATTTAAAAGTAGGCTATAAAAGGCCAACAAGAACAAAATGGTTAAAGCGCCTGCTTAGGCAGACACAGGAGCCAGGGGTTCCATCCCTGGCCTGCCATGCCCCAGCGCCAGGGAGCAGTGAGCAAGCAAATGGGAATGGGCGAGGTGGCGCACACCTGTAATCCCAGTGCTTGGGAGGCTGAAAAACAGGAATGATCACTGTAACTCCGATCTATGTAGTAAAACTCTGTAGACCCTATGCTAAATACATTTAAAAAAAAAAAAGAAAGAAAGAACAAAATGGCACTATTGGTAAACAGAGAACATTTTTTAAAAAGTACAAATTAGAAAAAATCACACATGA